GCAGTTGGTCGGATTTGGTTTGAATGCCCCTATTTAATTTAAGAAAACCCGACAAATCATATTTTGTCCAAGATGACCAAATCGCTCATGCCAGAATTTAAAAGAATTTGGATCCCTAAATCTCAAACTCATCGCAACATGGTGTATTTTAGGTCAGACAAATTCTAAAGTATACACATATGAATAAAAACCACATATGTTCACAAGAGTTTAAAGCAAACTCAAGATAAATTAAAATTGTCTGACAAATGCATATAATCCAAATATAGAAAAACCAAATAGTTTACCTTGACCACCTTGATAAGATCCACTTCAATGTCCACTATCTCCCCCTCGTCCAAGTTTATGAATATTAGTTTAAATTATGACATGTGCTTCAGGCACTACGTGTGAACCAATTAAACTTGTATTATGGTTTTTCACAATAGCTGGTTGTGTTTTTAACAACTACTAATGCAAGGATTAGTTCATAATGCTTAATATAATTTTTAGTTGTACTATTGTAAGAGTACAAGGTTACTTGTTGAATTGTATTCAGTCAAGGGTTTAAAATCCAAAAATGGCTACAGGATAAGATCTCCTACTATGTTCATAGCTCCCCCTTGTCCACACGTATAAGTAATTTTCTGAATTGTAGCATGTGCTACAAACATGTGCTACAAACACAACTCGTAAGCTAACTAGTCTGACATTGTGATTTCTAATCATTAATTGGTTGTGCTTCTCTACGACTACTAATGTAGATATCAATTCAGAATGCTAAGTGCAATTATTGGTCATGTACTGCTACTGGAGTACAATATTATTTGCATGGAATGGGGAAAAGAACTTTTCGATCAATTTTGTCACTGTCTGTAATGTTCTGCTTACAGAGTTTTAGCTGCTAGATAATGTGATATAGAGCTGAATCATATTTAGTCATGTATTTGAAATAAATTCCAGATTCAGTCTGCCAGTTGTGTTTGAGGGAAGATTATTGGCTTCCATAGATCAAAGCGATCCTTCAGGGATTGCCCATAAAAGTGAATACTTTTTCAGTGAGGCATTAATTTTTTACGTCTTAATTGATAGAGAAAAAATTTAAAGTGTTTGCCTTATGGGCAAAAATACTTAAAGAATCAAGAGATATAATCGTGCAAAAATCACAAGGGTGTCCAGTAAAAAATGAACGTTCGAGGCCAAAGACAAGTAATAATTACTATCATATATCACAATGCACTAATCATGGGGACGAAAGATTAGTGCATGAGAAATTAGAAATATTCACATTTTAATAAGATCACGCATAATCACCAAAATCATTAAGCTCCTTTTTCTTAAGATCTTAATAAAGGTTATCTTTCAAATGTTTGCTTTTGACAAACTAGTCTGATATTTAAAATTCACACAAAATTTTTAATGCTCGAACGATCAATGACCATCATAAACTCAAGCAAGTAGAAATTAAACAAAGACATAACCAGTTTGTGCTATCCTTTCTTCTAAACTCAAGGTTGCCAGATTCAAAACACCATCAAGGCAATTTTGGATAGAAACCAATATTGCATAATATTCAGTGGAGAAGAAGAATCAGTGCAATTAGCAATAAAAAAAAATGGACCACTTATGAACGCCAACATGACCTTTAAAACCCACAACTTAATTTCAAGTTTTCATAAGGCTTAGATTTTACTTCAAGCAAGCAAAATAGAATATTTATAGCAAAAGCATCAAATTGATATATTATGATAATTTTTCATGATTGATGCTCTGTCTATTCATACTCTAGAAGCAAAAGCATCAAATTGATATATTATGATAATTTTTCATGATTGATGCTCTGTCTATTCATACTCTAGACTAGATAGCTGGTATGTTTTAATTATAATTTTTCATGATTGATGCTCTGTCTATTCATACTCTAGACTAGATAGCTGGTATGTTTTAATTTTCTATTTTTTTCACTCATTTTACAAGTAGACAAGGTATTTCGGCAGATTGTAATATGATAACAATTGATAGACAAAATATGTTGATTGGAAAACTGATCCCCTAACCTTGTAGGATAATCCATATATGAAGACTAAAGGTCACTAGTAAAACATACGAAAATTACAAGCAAAAGCAACTGCATATAATCATATGGAATATCCTTCTAACAAACTAAATAGGCAAAAACATACATAGAAAAATGTCGTGATGCAATGTTAGCCACTGAATACATGTGACATGAATCATACCCTACCACCTACACTAACAGGATGATAGAAGTTACATTCGAGGCTAAAGCAAATATCTTATGAGTACAAATTGTAATCCAGATGTGCAAAACCATGACGAGCCTATGTAATACAAGAAGGATATATGCCCAAGCCTATCAGCAACTTTTAAAAACTACAAGAATGAGTTCAGCCACTTTTGAAGGTCAAAATATGCATCAAACTATATTAAAAAAATTTCTTTTCCTTGATATTTGTACTTTTTCATTTAAGTTTTGTCTTCATATGTCTGATCAAAATCATGGTCAACACGTATGGTTACCTCTTACCTTAAGCTTATGAACCATATATTAGAAATCTGACGATTACGGACGATTACCGAATATCATTCTTACTTACAGAAGACTAAGCTTGATTATATACATTTTTTTATCACACAAGAGACAAAAATCATTCTTACTCGTAGAAGACTAAGCCCACTTGTGGACCGAATGTCTCTATACATTTTGGATATAAAAAAATTGTTTCATTTTTTTAAAAAGGAATACTAAGGTAATCATTCTGATCAGAATAAAAGAAAAATAAGAAAGTATCATGTGGAAATTGTTACCTCGTAAGAGGTGTACACCGAAATATCTCTTACCACCAACAGACGATTACAAACCGGCTAGTTAGAGCTTTCGTGCTGATAACGTGTTGTAATCTTGTTGTCATATCTACATACATCACATTATCATAAGTAAGAATCGAACATGAAATGTAAGAGTAAATAAATAGAGGAGAGAAGAGATAGGGAGAAAGTGATCATCTCATTTTTATTCATCTTCATTTCTCCATACATTTTGTCTTCCATAGCTTACATTATATAGATGTGAAAGAGAATACTAAGGGGGTGTTAAGTCAATTGGAATATTTTCATGCAAAATGAGATAATTGTTAAAGTAGAATAATTTTTCGCTAGTGGGATATTTTAGTGGGATAAATAGAAACAATTTTGTGAAGCGGGATATTTTGATAAAAATAATGTGGGATAAATTTTTATAATCATGAAATATATATTTATGCATTTTGAAGATATAAATACTATTTATGTATTTTAAACTTATTATTATTGATTGATAATTGCTTATAAGAATGTTCTTTACTATTAAATAACTTTTGGTTAGACTATAAGATATTGATAATTATTATTATAAAAAGAAATATAAAAAATAACAAAATAAACAAGAGTTCTAGTTTTTTACCACCTAGTTCCAAGCTAAAACTTGGAATAATTTGAGAGACCAGAACTCTCATTTTTGTATAGAAAAATAAAAAAAGTGAGATAATTTTGTACCATTATCCCAATTCTAGTTTTGTTAGAGTTCTACTTGACTAACACTGTAAAATTTTGTTCTAGTTTTAGTTCTATATGACTAACACCTTAAAATTTTATCCCACAGATTATCTCAGTTTCAATTTTAAGTTCTAGGTGACTAACCCCCCTAAAAGTCACAAGCAAGTGAAGAGACTTCTTCTAATAATGTCCACGTTCATTTCATTTATATTTACAACAAAAGTGACTTTATAATGACATCATAGCAGATTCTAAAAAATTGACAATATCTTCAACTCATAGGAAAAAGACACTTAGGGGGTGTTTGTTTGCATGCAAGTGAAAGATGAAAGTGAAAAAATTACTTTCATTTAACAATTAAGGTGTTTGTTTTCATGTAAATGGTTATGAAATTGAGATACAAGAAAGTTGCTACATATGATTTAATGCAATTTTAATTTTCCCTAAAAAAGTGGTGAAGTCACATGAAAGTGACAAAAATGTAACTAATTTAATTAAATAATTTTAATTATACTTTCTAATTAATCTTATTTTGCCACGTCATCTTCACATTACACTTTCGATAATAATATAATTTTTCAAACAAACACTGTATTTTACTTGCGTACTGACATGGATGTAAAGGGGGTGTTTGTTTGCATGCAAGCGAAAGATGAAAGTGAAAAAGTTAATTTCATTTAACAATTAAGGTGTTTGTTTTCATGTAAGTGGTTATGAAAATAAGATACAAGAAAGTTGTCACATAGGATTTAATACAATTTTGACTTCTCCTAAAAAAGTGCTGAAGTCACATGAAAGTGACAAAAAGGTAACTAATTTAATTAAATAATTTTAATTATAATTTCTAATTAATCTTATTTTGCCACGTCATCTTCACATTGCACTTTCGATAATAATTTAAATTTCTAAACAAACATTGTATTTCACTTGCGTGCTGACATGAATGCAAAAGTCATTTGAAAAAAAAAGTGACTTACATATTTTAAATTCATTTTAAGATTGCCAAACAACCCCAAAAGTCATTTATAAAAAAAAGTAACTTACATATTTTAAATTCACTTTCAGATTGCCAAACACCCCCTTAACTTGGGAAGGCACGTAAAAATATATTGCTTCCCACCTAACTCGTTTTTGGATATTATTATATTCTTTCTACCTTCCCAAAATTTAAATCTATTTTATGCAAGATATAAAAACTGAATTTCAAAAGAAAATAGAATTTATCAACAGAAAAACAAACAAAAAAATTTTACAAAATCGCAACTGACTCTGGACTCCGGGGGCAAGAGGCGGATATATAAATATATTTCACGCTCCTCCCTCTCTCGCAGATCCGCCTGCTCCGATTCCATCGGATCTGCGGAGATATGGATTTCTAACCAAAAACCCTAATCCCGGATCGAAACCCTAGCTTCTGCCCTTCCATGGCGTCGTCTGCTACCGCAAATCTCTCCTC